ATATACTCGAGTATAAGCCGACCCGAATATAAGCCGAGGCACCTAATTTTACCACAAAGAACTGGGAAAAAGTATTGACTCGAGTATAAGCCTAGGGTAGGAAATGAGGCAGCTACTGGTAAATGTAAAAAATGAAGATAGATACCAATAAAATTACATGAATATTTATTTCAAAGAAAAACAATAACCTAGCTCTGTAAGTGGAAAAGGGGGTCAACAAAAACAATATGGTATCAAAAATACCGTAACTTTAAAAGTACAACAACCTTAGCTCAATCAGCAACCAAGCTCAATCAGCTCCCCATAGCTCTTTTCCTCAGGTGTCCCGGCTTCCTAGCTGTTTTCGTGTTTTTAGCTGAGGGAAACTTGCAGATGGCAACTCCCTCTCCACATATACCATTCCCCCGACACAGAGGATAAAATATTTCCACAATCCCTGGGCAGATCCTGCTTTCCATAAGGATTTTATCCTTTCCATTCAGGCCCCTTACCTTATCTCTTCTCTTCAGCCTGCGCCGAGCCGCGCTTCTGCCTCCGGACCTGCCCCCTGCCCACAGCACAGTGACAAGCCAATCACTGGCAGTCACTGTGCAGCCAACAAGCCTATGTATGTGCGCTGTTCATCACACATACATAGAGCTTTCAGACCTCAGAAATTGACACGAGATACTTTGATGATGAATTTACAGCGCAGTCCGTAACAATAACACCTCCTGACAGATACGACAACCTGGATGCCTTAGAACCTGACCAGCGTACTCACTTTCCTCAGTTCTCGAGACGCTGACTCAAGTATAAGCCAAGGGGGGCATTTTTCAGCACAAAAAATGTGCTGAAAAACTCGGCTTATACTCGAGTATATACGGTATTTTAAAAATATTTTTTGTTTCATCTTTATCTCATCCTTTTTTAATTTCTATTTTTGTGTATGTTTTATAATGTACATAATATATCAGTACAGTAGTACATGTATATAATTTATAAATAAATAAATATACATATATTGGAGGTTCATGCTGAAATTTTTTTTACTGATAGGGGTGCGCGATCACAAAAGTTTGGAGACCACTGGTCTAGGTAATATGGACTCTGCGTAGTGCCTGGTATGAGCCACTCTGTTTCAAGGATATTTTTTCTGTTTTGAGACAAAATTGATCATCTTAGGGGTGTGCTGTCTGTTTCTTTGGTAACATACCATAAGAATGGCCATACTGAGCCAGACCAATGGAATATCTAGCTCAGTACCCTGTATTCCAGTATCCTGTCTTCCAGCAGTGGCCAACACCAGGGACTTGAGAGAGAATGAACAGGACAGGCAATCATCAAGTGATCCATCCCCTGTCATCTACCACCAGCTTCTGGCAGTATGAGGAAGTACTTCCTTTTTTTGTTTTGTTAGATGGGGTGACCGGAACTGCACATAGTATTCAAGATGTGGGCGTTCCATGGATATATATAGTGGCATTATGTTAATATCTGTTTTATTATCAGCTCCTTTCCTAATGGTTCTTAAGATTTTAGCTTTTTTTGACTACTGCTGCACAGACAGTGGGTGTTTTCAGAGAACTAGCCACAATGACTCCAAGATTTTTCTTGTGTGTTAATAGCTAAGTTAGACCCCATAACTTTGTGTTTATAGTCATAATTATATTTTCCAATGTGCAATGCTTTTCATTTATCAAAAATTCATCTGCCATTTTGTTGCCCAGTCATCTAATTTTGTGAGATCCCTTCGTAAATCATTGCAATCGATTTTGGACTTAACTACCTTGAATAATTTTGTATTGTCTGCAGATTTTGACATCTCAGAGTTTATTCTCTTTTCCGGATAATTTAGGAATATGTTCAACAATTCTAGTTCCAGTACAAGCCCTTAGAGGAGGCTACTATGTACTTCTCACTTCTGAAAACTAATGATTTAGTCCTACTCTTTTTCTATCTTTGAACCAGTTGCTGATTCATGATAGGACTTTATCTCTTATCCCACGATTTAGTGATGGGTGAAAGACTAACCAGAAGGTTGGGGGAGGGATAGCTCAGTGGTTTGAGCATTGACCTACTAAATCCAGGGTTGTGAGTTCAATTCTTGAGGGGGTCATTTGGGGCAAATCTGTCAGGGATGGTACTTGGTCTTGCCATGAAGGCAGGGGACTGGACTCGATGACCTCTCAAAGTCCCTTCCAGTTATGTGAGATAGGTATATTGCCACATATATATACATATACAAAAGGTAGTGGATTCAACTGAGATAATTCCCAGCAGGAGGTCCCCTTTGGTGAGGCTTTCTGAAATTCCAGCTACACTGTATTCACTGTATGACTCTTGTTCATATGTTTGTTGACCTTCTCAAAGAATTCTAATAGATTGGTGAGGTCCTACACAATATGTTTCCACCAGTGAGAGACCTAACTCCAGCATGAGACTTAATCTTAGTGCTGAGAGCAATAACAGGGAAAGCTTTTGAACTTCTTGCCTCCTGGTCACTGCTTCACCTCTCAGTGAATGTTTCCTTTCTTGTGGAAATTATGTCAGCACATAGGGTGGATGAATTAAGGGCCCTCATGATGGGCCCTCCTTATATTATCTTTCATAAAGAAAAAGTAATCCTCTGTGCACACCTGAAATTCCTACTGAAAGTACTTCCCACGTTCCATTGCAGCAAAACAGTTTACATACTGTCTTATTTCCTAAATTTCATAAGGACATCAGAGAAGCAGCCTTGCATGCTTTAGATGTCTGCAGGGCAATTCTCTTTTACCTACAACCCACAAAACCCTTCTATAGATCTCCAGACCTCTTCATTTCAACCACAGAGAGGTCTCTGGGTTTACCTATTTCAAAACACAGACTATCGAGATGGATCTCAGGATGCATAAATCTGGTGTAGAGAATATTCCAGTAAGAACCCCCAGCGGCCATTCAGGCTCATTCCACAAAAGCAATGGTGGCATCCATGGCATTCTTCCAGGGCATACCAATTGAGAAAATCTGCAGAGCTGCCACCTGGGCTTTGGCACATATATTCACCAACCACTATGCCACCCAGACTATTCTGCTTCCGATACTTAGTTACAGAGAGTACTTTTCGGCCAAACTGATTCAGGTCTCCTGGCACCCTCCACTAAACACGATTACTGCTTTGTAATCGCCTAAGGTGGAGCACTCACAGGGATACCCTTCGAAGAAGAAGGGAAAGTTACTCATCTGGTGCAGTAACTGGAGTTCTTTGAGATGGTTGTCCCTGTGGGTGCTCCACCTTAGGTGTCTGAGTACCTCTGAGCTTCTAATCTGAGACTTTAGGTAGCAATGCCCATGATTAGAAGTGTAGTGGAGCTCAGACTCCAGAAGTAGAGCACCTACAGGGACAACCATCTTGAAGAACTCCAATTACTGCCCCAGGTGAGTAACTTTCTCTTACTGTATATGGTCCTGGTGTCCACGTTTGAAAAGGAATGTTGATAAAATTGAGAAAGTACAAAAAGTAGCCACACAAATTATTCAAGGCTTTGGAAAGTACTTTTCTGTGAGAGATATAAAGAGCTCAGTCAGTTTAGTTTATCAAATGAAAGCTTGAGAGGTGACTTAATTAGTGTATACATACATCACAAGAAGAAAATATCAATTGCTAGAAGTACCTTCTCTAGTAGAGGTTGGCTGGAAGATGAAGTTAGTCAAATTTAAATGTTAACAATGAGAGTGATTAACTTTAGGAAGCAAGTGCCAAAGGAATTGGCGGATTGTCCAACTCCTGTTGTAATCAAATCAAGTCTTGATTTGTCTTTCTGGAAGATATGCTTTAGCCAGCCACAAGTTAAGCTTTAGTTCAGTGGTTGGGAACCTTTTTTGGGTTGGAGGTTGCTGACCCACGTACAAATCTGTCAGGGACCACACACAAGTAAGTGGAAAACAAAAACAAACAAAAAAAACCTCTAATTGATGTTGCCCCAGACTGAGAAGGAGAAAGACACTCCTCACATTCTCCTTTCACCAGTGCCTAGAAGATCTTGTATGCTCCAGCTCCATGATGGGGGGGCTGAAGTGCCAGAGCAGGCTCCCCAATACTGGGAATCCAGTCAAGCCAGGGGTGGCCTTAGTTTCCCCACCCCTGCTTTAGTTAAAAAGAAGTTATTAGATTCAATACAAGGTTAACTTGATAAAATCAATAGTTTGTGATACACAGGAGGTCAGATTATATGATATAATGGTCTCTGCTGACCTTAAATTCTGTCAATCTGCACGGGCAGTTAGCAGGAGATTCTGGGCTTTTCTTGTCTAGGTTGTAACAGCCCACAGTTGTCACTTTTTGGGGCATGCTAGAGCATCTCACTTTTCTTCACTGTTCATGAGGAAAAGAGGAGTTATTTATGCGTAGGTGTGGGACTGGGATGTAGGCATCAGAAGAGCCAGAAGCTGGGAGCCCTGCCTAGCGGGGTTTTGAGGCATCTCGGTAGGGGAGCTGTAGCTGCCTAGCTGGCAGGCAAGGTGGGGTCAGCTGCAGGCAGCCAGGGCCAGTGGTAGGGTGACCATCCAGGGCTGGAAGCATAACCTGCATCAGGCTAGGGAGCGGGTGGCAGAAGACCTCCCCTGGTCAGGCAAATCCCCTCCTTCATGACTGGTCAGGTACTGAGGGTGCTGGATCAGGCAGGTCCAACCTGTACAATATTGATCAGTGTCAGTTATACTTAAGTTTTCACTGCTGTGTTGGTCTGGTGGAATTTACAGGTCTTAGTATATTTTTTAAACATTGTCAAGGGAGCCCAGAGCAATTGGACATTTTATTCTCTATAAATCTAAAGAATTAACTTCCATGTAGGTGTTGTACATCAACAAATAGACTGTAAGAAATGGTGATTCTAAAAACTAGTAAAATGTGCTCCATTGTATCTTCCAGATTCTTTCTCGTGGAATATTAAATCAATGTTACCATGTACTGTCTCAAATACAGTTCATCACATTTTAAGAATTAGTTTTTAAATACTCATTTTCTTCTTGTTTTACAGCTTTCATTGTTAATGATGCGAGTGAAGGCTCTAACAGCAGAGTATAATCAGTGGCAGAAACGAAGTCCTGAGAGTAAGGATTTTTATTAATATTGTTATAGCCTTTGTTTAAAAACAAAGTTTATATGATTATCTTGAATTTATAACATGATACATCCAAGCATCCGAGTGATTAGGTGGGTGTGCATATATTTATCTATGTATATAAAGAGAGAGAGAATATGTTTATGTTGCATGCATCATCATCTGTAGGTGCCTTGCAGAAATTAACTGCTACTTACAGTAGTGTCCTTCCACTTCCGTCTCTGTGCTTTCTTCCTTGTAGCACTGACAGCACCTTTTGAAATGAATGAGGCAGTTTTCAATTTAGAGCACCTGTTTCTCTTTCTGAGACCATATTTACAGTACCACTTACATCAGCAAAGTTTGTTGCTTAAGGGTGTGAAAAAACACATCCCTGAGTAGTATAAATAGTAATTGCATAGTGCTGTGTCAATGGGATAGCTTTTTCCTGTCAAAACAGAGCAGTTACATGAGCTCTTACAGTGGCTGCATTAGTACAGCTGTGCCATTGTAATCGCTCTAGTGTAAACATACCTAACACTGCCTTTACTGGAATGGGATTTTTAGGTTTTCAGCTCTCCTAAAATATCAGACCAGCAAAGATGTAATATTCCAGGAGGCTAACTGTAGGCCTCTATAGCAAAACTGCAGCCCTGAAGTCTAGCCCCTCACCTCAGGGGCAAGCCACAGTCTATATTGTTCACACTTCAGCTCTGCAAGGTACATGGTGCAAGGAAGAAACGATGGACCCAGGTCTGCCCATTACTGTGGGCCCTGATCCAGGGACCCTCATTCTGCCCTCCTTTACTTCCCTTAATTACTTGTGTTTCCTGGGCCAATTCCCTGTGGCTCTTGCACCTTCTTGGCCCCTGTATCAAGGCCTCAGCCTGGCTGGTATCAGACTAGAATTTCCCTCTTTCTGCTCCTCTAAGACTGCCCAGCACTGCTCTGCTCCTGACTGGCCATCGCTAGCTGCACCCTGAGCAGTTGGGTTTGGGCAGGCTCCCTCCAGCCTGCTTTTAACCCTTTTGTTGCCAAAGCAGAGCAGCCACACTACAGGCGCAGAGTGGGAGATATTCTGCAAGAGTGAAGGACATAGACTCTTTGAGTGTTCATAGGTAATGTGGCAAAGTTCTGTCTGTGCCCCATGGATCTTGTGCTTCTGGTGGATAGTATTTTGCCTCAGAGGCTCACTGTGACACATGACCTCTTTCTCTTTACTAGAGGCAGGGTCCACAGCCTACTGAGCCATATTCATCACAGGCTAGTTCACAGTTTTGAAGCAAAAACCCCACTGTAGTCTTGGTCTCCCTTCTTAGGGGCAGATTTGGTGATGGCATGGGAGAGTTTAGGGGGTAACCACGGCCTGCCCACTACTCCAGGTTCTGGCCCAGAAATCATAAGACAGTGGCAACAGACAGTCTGGCAGCTTTTTCCCTGGGCCACTTCCCCAAACAATTCATCCCAGTACCTTTCTTCTAGTACCTGCTAATCAGTCCTCAGCTCCTGCACCCACTGTTCTTCTACACCACACTTTCTCCTTCCAGTCCTTCACTCTTTTTCTTTCCCATTCCTTACCTAGGGGGAAACCTTTTAAAGCAGCTCCATGTGCCTTAATTGGCTGAAGTGTCTACTTAGCCTGTACTTCCAGCAAGCTGTAATTGCCCCCGGGGAGCTGCCTGATTATGCTGCACTAGGCTCAGCCCTGTTTACTCAGGAAAGAGAAAACTGTTTATCTAGGCTCCAGCATGTCTTCCTTCCATTAGTGTGTGGCAGCCAGCCTGGTCTGGGTCTGTCACAATAACCAGTACCTTGAAACCAGTACCCAGTGCTGGATTCAGACAATCTAAATATAAGGCAAAACAACAGGTGGATACAGACCAATGCAGAAGAACAGGGAAGCAATGAGACTGTTTTACATTGATGGTAAACAGTGGTCACGGTATATCAACAACCTAACTGTCTCTTTCTAAACATACTGCTTCCCCCCGCCCCCCCAATATATAAAATTTCCATAACAGAAAACATTAGTACAAGTTTCACTGCCAAAAACCAGCCCACTCTGGTTCAGTAAATCCGTGATCCAGTAGGACCATGGATGATTCTTGACCGGAGAGTCTGTGAGCCTAAGGGCAGCAGGGCCAACTGGGACCAGAATTCCCTAGCAGCTCATAGCGAGCTGGGTCCAAGCCTCCCAGAGAGCCATTGGTAGCTGGGCAAGCAGCCCACCTAAGGTGGCGGAGTGAGGCTGGGGTTATAGCCTGCCTATATTGGACCTCCCTTGTTCTGGCAAATTCTCTATTTGGGACCGGTCAGGTCCTGATGGTACTATACCAGGGAGGTCCAACCTGTAGTTTGTATTATCTGGGAACCTGTCTCTAGCAGTGATCAGTTCCAGATGCTTCAGAGAAAGGGCATACCAAAATTAGACCAATTGTACCGAATTATGCAGCGTTACCCTGTAGGGGAATATTTCTTGTTGGCCACTGCTTATGATCAGCATGTCCTGTAACATAAAGTTTGCAAGCACTTTCGATGTTTATTCTAGCTGATGCTGATGTTTTTGTTACTATAAATGTTTAATCATTTTTAAAACCTTAAGCTACTTGTGTTACAAAAAATAGATTATTGTTGCATTAAATATTTTTAGCATTATACTTGAGCATATCCGTTACATATGTTAATTTTATGGTACAGAAATGTTGTGTATATAATATAAAAATAACTTTAAAAAAATCACTCCTGTGACATCTTAGAGACTGACAATGTTTTTAGGTCATGAACTTTTGAGAGTAAAATCCACTTCATCAGATGAGTTGAAGTAGAAATTACAGAGTCCAGGGTATATTTTAACAGCAAAAACAGTTTCCTGTCAATTATAGGATCATGCTAATTAAGCAAATTAAGTCAGGCTGGATGTGTTTCATTCACAGCATGTGATGTGGAAATGCGAATATCAAAGGTGGGGAAATTTCCTTTGTACAGGTTGAGCCTCTATGGTCTGGGGATCATGGATATTGCAGGACCAGAGAGCCCCAGTCACAGAGGATGCCAGCGTGAGCTCTGTCAGCTGGAGCAGGGCCAGCAGCTGGGAGCGAGGGAGGCATTGGAGCTCTTACACAGCTGGAGGGAGGCCAGCCCAGAGAAAAGCTCTGCTGGTTGGGAAAGGTAGTCCTGACGGCTGGGGCATGGAGTCCTGCTGCAGCCGTGGTGAGGCCAGGCATGCGCAGAGCCCCTCTGGCTGGGGGTACAGAGCAGAACCCTGCTGGCTGGAGCTGGTCTGGCGTCTCAGAGAGGAGCCTGGCCAAGGGTATGTAGGGCCAACTGCTCATAGAGGAGCCCCACCAGAAGGTTTGGGGGGCAACAGAACCCAGTATGCGGTCTTGGGGCAGCACACTGACTGGGTCCATGGCCAGGTGGGGAGCCTTGGAAAAAGCCTGAGGCCAAACCTCCCCTTGTCCAGCAAATTCCCTAGTTCGGGACCATTCAGGCCCCAAAGATTCTGGACCAGAGAGATCCAACCTGTTGTGCGTTAACCAGTTAAAATCTTTCTTCAAGCCTAAGTTGATATTGTTGAACTTGTAAATGAACTCCAGTTCAGATTTCTCCCTCTGTAAGCAGATAATAAAATTATTTTGTAGGAGAATGGCTACTTTTAAATCCATCATTGAATGTCCGGGGAGGTTAAAATGCTCCCCTACGGGTTTATGTGTGTTACCATTCCTGATGTCTGATTTGTGTCCATTTATCCTTTGAAGCAGAGACTGACCATTTTGGCCAATGTAGATAGGAGAGAGGCATTGTTAGTGCTTGATGGCTTATACCACATTAATCTGTGTGAAGGTGTATGAGCCCCTGATATGGTTTAGAGAGACAAGGAGGGTGAGGTAAAATTACTTCACTCACAGTCTCTTCAGTATCCTGGAATAAGGATGTTAAATTTAGATTAATTGACTATTTGATTAGTTGATAAGGGCACCTCCGCCTTTGAAAGGTAGCAAGAGCCCTGCTGGCTCACCTACATTTCAAAAGCAGGGACCGCGGGGTCAGCAGAGGACTGCTTGAGTCACCCACTGGCCCTGAATTCCTCATATGCACTTTACTTTTGAAATGTAGCAAAAGTCCCACTGCGCCAGTTCCCCGCTGCACACCCCTCCCCCGCTGGAGCTGGAGGGAATTGGCTTTTAAAGCGGCTCCCCCCAGAACCAGCTCCTGCTCCCCCCTTACTGCCTCTCTCTGATAGAAGCGAAATAGGCTTATCGGATAGTCAACTAGTCACTTACATCCCTATACTGGAACCAACACCGTTACATCTGTACTGTATGCCCCATGTAAATAACTTATCTTTTTACAGTATCAGAGGGGTAGCCGTGTTAGTCTGAATCTGCAAAAGCGGCGAGGAGTCCTGTGGCACCTTATAGACTAACCAAAGTGTTGGAGCATAAGCTTTCGTGGGCAAAAACCCACTTCGTCAGCTGACATGCATCTGACGAAGTGGGTCTTTGCCCACGAAAGCTTATGCTCCAACACTTTGGTTAGTCTATAACAGTGGTCCCCAACCATTTGAGATTTTGCAGATTCAGACTAACACGGCTAACCCACTGATACTGTAA